CCTCTAGTACAATCCAGGATCCCTTGGGCCGCTTGCGACTAGCCGCTGCGATGCCGTGCTAAGCCCTGCTGGCCCTTGCAAAACCCTGCTACGCCTAGCCGAACCCTGCTAGGCACTGCTAAGCACTCTAGCCCTCTGCTAAGCCCTGATAAGTTTTTGCTAGCCACCTGCCAGGCCCAACTGAGCCTTGATAGGCCCTATCAAACCCTGCTAGCCCCTGATATGCCCTGCTGAGACCTGCCAATCTTTGCTAACACTTGCCAGCCTTGCTAAATTCCGCAGGCACCTCGGTAACCTGCTAAGCCACGCGATGCCTGCTAAACCATGCGGGGCCACATCACATATAGTCTCACCAGGGGTGAACCAAGTGCGAATGAAATCCTGTGAGAGGTGGACCCATCTCTAACATAGTCTTACTAATGACGAAGCAACATGTAATGAACTCCGAACAAGGACGGATTCTGCTCTAACAGAGTCCCATGAGAGGTGTACCGTCCTCCACTGGGATCCGGTCATGCACGGGGCCAGAGGCAATTCAATTCCATGCAGTGTGGCTTCACCTCTGACAGAATCCAATTAGAGGTGGATCCACCCCCAGTATGATTCCATTACGGGTGGAAGTACTTGTAGTAAAGTTGTAGTAGATATGGGTACGCGTCTCTTTGAATCCTATGGGGAATAGAGCCACCTCTAATCCAATCACTCCTGAGCCCTGCCAAGCCCCTGCTAATCGCTGCTGCGCCTTGCCCTCTGGGCCGTGTTAGCCACTGCGATGCCGTGCTAACCTCTGTTGGCCCCTGCTAAGCTCAGCTAGGTCTAGCAACGCCCTGCCAAGTACTGCTTAAGCGTGGCCAAGCCTTGCTGGTCTTCTGCTAAGCTGTGGTAAGGTCTGCTAGCCACCTGCCAAACCCAGCGAAGCCTTGATAGGCCCGACCAAGCCTTTCTAGGTTCTGCTAGCCTCTGATCTGCCTTGCTTGAACTTGCCAGTCTGTGCTAACACCTGCTGGCCTTGCTAAATTCTTCCAGCACCCCGATAACTGCTAAGCCATGCGGAGCCACATCTGCTATCACCTTATCAGGGATGGATATACAGCTAATCGAATCTAATTGGAAGGTGGACACACCTCTAACATAATCTTGCTCAGGAAGAAACAATTTGTAATACAATCCGATCAAGGAAAGGCCCAGCTTTTTATATGACCCCATGAGAGGTGGATCCACCTTTATTGGGATCCTATTATGGACGGGGTCACGGCTAATCGAACTGCATGCAATGTGGATGCCCTTCTAATATCATCTCATGAAGGGGTTCAGCCACCTCCAATATAACTCCATGGAGGATGGAAGCGCCTGGGGTGTAGTCTTACTAGATGTGGACCACTTAAAAAATCCATTGGGAACGGAACCACCTTTAATCTAATCTTTTCAGGGGTGGATCCACTGCTCATGGGAGTCGATCGGCAGTAGATGCGATCCACCTTTAGAATGTCGTGTTAAAGACCATACCGCCTCTACTACAGTTCTTTTAAGAGGTGGAGATGTTTCTACACGAGAGAATTCAATTGGCCGGCTGGAAAATCACGCACAGGGCTTCTATGTGGAATTCACGTAATGTACAAAGTTAAGTTTCAAGCACCATAATGGGCATCCTATTGTAAAGTCGCACAACATAAATTCTATGTGTAACCCACAGAGTCGAAATCAATTTGTAAGTCGCCCGCAAAACAACATCCGATTGAACTGCCGCACACACATCGGATTTTATGTGCAACTTGCACATCAAAAATCAGTTTGTAAATCGGCAATTCAAGAAATCCGAGTGGGCAGTTGCACGCACAGATTTTATGTGTAACCCGCAATATTAAAACAATCGTGGTAACCCGCTTACACAAGACTTTCATTTAAAACCCGCGCAGAAGAATTCGAATTGTAATATTCACAATGGAAATGGTTTATATGTAGCAAAAAAAATCTTTACATGGAGGCCAGAAAAAAGTTTGGGACCGCCTGACGACAACACAATAAAACATCAACACCATCGCACCGTTATTTTTTTTCGGGGCCAGGGCGGGGGAGCACATAAACAGATACATGGAGAGGGTGATGGTTTCTGTTTTTGAATTGTAAGCTTCACAATCGAAATCTTCTGGTACATCGCCCACACAAGACATCTTATTGCAACTCAGAACATCAGGATCCTGTACGTTATTCATTCAACTGTGTGGTTTCAGTAGAAATTGTTTTGTGGGCGATTTGCAAATCGGCCGTTTCCTATATTTTGTCGCCCCGCCCTGGCCACGAACAACAATGGACACACCACATTTTTTTCTGGAGGTCCCAAACTTTCGCTGGCCTCCAGTTAAAGAAAGTCTTTATGTGGGCGGTTTACAACTTAATTTTTCATTGTGTAGTTTACAATTAGAATCCTTGTGCGCCACTTTTCCTTTGGATTTTACTACAGAATTGGGTACGACGCAGAAGATGAGAGAGACACAGCACATGAAAGGATGAAAATACACGAGCCGAATAGCCAAGCACCTTCGACCTGTTTAGATACACCACGAAAGTGGTACCCAAATAGTCCTTCATTTCCCACTTACCCCTCCCTCCTTCCCGCCTCCTTTCTTCCCCCTTTCCCTTCTCCCTCCTCCTCCTCCTCCTCACCATGATCCCTCATACCTTCTCCTCCTCCACCTCCGCCTCCCTCTTCCTCCTCCCTCGTCCTCACGTTCCTCCTCTTTTTTTTCCTCTCCCTCTTCCTCTTCTCCCTCCTCCGCTTTCTGTTCTCCTCCTTCCTTCTCCTCCTCCTCCTCCTCCTCTTCCTGCTCCTCCCTCCTGCTTCTCCTCCTCTCGGCTCCAACTTCTTCTCCGCGGGGGAGGCGAGTGAGGGCGAGGTGGTCCCACTACCTACACTCGTCTTCATTGTTTCTGCTGCGGCGGGTTACGATCGGCGCGCCGCACTGGCCTATTAAGAGGGTCTCCCAGGATGAGGGCCCCTTGCTGCAACTCTTGCGGCTTCCTCATGGTCCAGGTGTGCAGAAGGGGAGTCGTCGGGGTGATCATTCTATCTTCTCATCTTTGGTGGCCATGGCGATTCGGAGGACGAAAAGGTGGAGGAAGCAAAGAAGGGCACCGAACGAAACACGGAAGAAGCTACGGAGGGAGATGCGGAACGCAGCCCTGATCATCATACCGCAGCGCACATGTACGCATATCTACACATGCGATTGGCACCAGCACATATCTACACATGCGTATATGTGTTTGCGTATAAGCATGTATAGACGCATATATACAGCAACAGGCGCACACACATCTACACATATGTCCTATTCTAGCTCTTGCTTTTGCTTGTACCCTTGCCCAGGGGAAAGCGTCTGCCTTGTCCGCATCTGCGGCCGCGTCCACCGAAGCCGCCGTAGTAGTTCGCGTAGTCGTCGATGCTGTGCTCGTCCACGTTTTCACCCTCTGTGTCGTTCTGCATCTAGGTGTCAGTGTCGACTATGTAGTACCGTTTGCCATCTTGAGTGGCACTTCGCCCTTCACCTTCAGATCAGCCCCGTTCGTAGTCGCCCATGTCATAGGCCTCGCACCCTGTCTTGTAGAGATCGCTGCGACCGTGTTCACTGCCGTCTTGATCTGCGAAGAGTGCCCAATCTGAACGGTGCTGTGATTCATTCTGTTTGCCCATGTGCATGTGCAAGCCTCGGATGGCAGAGTACTGGGACAGGTCCCAGCCGACGTGCAACCTGATGTCGTTGATCTTCTCGGAAAGGTCGGAATTCTTGAGCGAGAAGTGCGACTTTCTCACGTGGTTCATCTGTGGACCGCCTTCTTCACATGCATCTTCGAAGACCATCTCGTGCTGCGCAATGCACGTCGTGAGCTCATCGTTGCCGCGCCGGCAGTCGAAGTAGGCGTCGAGAACGATGTTGACTCGATCCTGATCGTGGAGCTCGTACAGCGTTCGCAGCTTCTCCCAGAATTATCGCAGGCCAGAGGCTTTACCTGTTGCTCCTTCATCTTCACCAGTGCCTTCTCGCCGCGGTATGTCACACCACCTCTCGTGATGGTGTAGCTCATGGCCTCTTGGAATGGGGGGCCTTGGAGCCTGCTCAACCATCAGGCCGATACGTTCTTCATTCGTCTCTTCGGTGATTCTCCGCCAAAGACGTAGCTTTTGCGTACTTCCTGAATGTGTAGACTCGATGTTTGGCCGCCATTCTGGGGGAACGTTCTTGGTGAACTCCTCGAGGTTGGGGCCCTTATCGAAGCCCACTTGGGCCCTCGCCGCCATGTGTGCAACGTGATAGCTGTCGTGAAGTGATGAGAACGCCGTCGGGGTCAAGGTAGTAGTGAAACTCGGGAGAACAACAAAGTTAATGAGTGAGTGCTGCTTGTGGCTCGCGGTGTGAAGGAAGGCGCTGTCGGGCTCGTCCTACTGGCCGTGGATGCTTGCGGGAACACCCTTGTCGTACACGTAGTTATGGAGGGCGCTGAGAGTCAGCGCGAGAAGATTCGTCTTGATGATGAAGGCCGATTCGCTCGGCGATATGGCGTGTTGCGCGAGCGGTCGTCCGCCGGGGGCGTCGCTGGTGCTGACCGTGGTCAGCTCTGCTACCATAGTTCCCTTTCTTGTGGCTTCAGCCAGAATGGATACAGTCTTCTGTCTCAGCAAATCTTCTATATTCCACTTCGGCTACCTATCTCTCCTGCCCTGCAGGGCTTATATCAATATCTTTACTAGGTAGGGGGGGTAGAGGGTATGGGGGGGAGGGAGTCCCCCATTTTTTTTCCAGGCGCGCTGGATGTCGGGGGGGGATGGAGACCCCCCAGTTCCGATACGTCGTGGGATGTTCCCGTGGCAAGCGCCGTGCAACGCGTTCGTTCACATGTATAGTGTGCGTGCTTACGCATGTGTTTATGTGTGTGCACATGGATACATCGCATGGAGTGGGACATCGTGGAGATCAATTGGGTATTCCACCAAGGGGAGAGAAGGCCTCACGGCGGAGTTCGATATTCTCGCCACTAGCAGCGATCGAACAGGGCGACCATACGTGGCCATGATTCAAGGGAAGCGCCTACCCTTCTATGCGGTCTGATTTGTGTGTGACCTTGACTTAGCAGAGTTGCGCCTCCAATGTTGAGGATGCGCGCAGAAGATATGACGGTGTCTGTTGTCAACTGCCTCCATGGATGTCCTGCTCAGTCTTCTCCAGTATCCCAAGTGCTCCACCACAGTGAGGATTAGACCGACAGTGTCTGCTCACAATGAGGATTAGGCATTGCATTTCTCATCAATGTGTTTGTCGAGTTTGTTTTGCCAGAGTGAGTGGTGGCCGTGGACGCCGCCGCAGATCCACGCATGGTATGCGTAATTGTTTGCGAGCAGAACTTTCCCATTGCTGTATACCCTGATAGTTGAGTATGTACCTACGTGAGGCAACCATACCATGGCGCAGCATGTGTCAGTGTGCGCCACGGAAGCACATTGTGGTCATGACTGGTTCTCTTACATGCTTTGGGAGAGTCTGTGGACTAACCTCAGAGTCGCGCGAGCACAGCTTCAAGGGGTGGGTGCGTACAGGTCCAGTTCCACCCTGAGAAGATCAGATATGTCGAGAATGGGCGCTACCGACACAATATTCCAAAGACTGACGAGGCTGCTCCCGAAGGGCAATGCTAATAATCACGAGCGTGATGCTGGTCTTGCACTGCTGAGTTTCTTGAATTAACACGTGTGGTAATGTGAACTGTGACAATGTGCGATTCTTCTTGGTGCCATGTGCCTGAGCTTGCGCACCCCCATCATCAATCGGTGACATTCCAGGGGGCGGTGACAGGTGTGCGTGCTTGATTTGTTTCTCTTCGGGGAAATATTCTGCCAACATTCTGCCCCCCCACCACCCACCCGTCCAAAATCCACTCGCCCACCACTCACCCACCACGAACCCGCCACGCACCCGTCCACACGCACACACAACCGACTTACACACCCACTCCATCGACCACCCACCACCCACCACCCACACACTTATCACCCACCTCCCACCACCCACACAATACCCACGCACCCACCACCCACCCATCACGCCCCCTCCGCCCGCCCCCATACAGGCTTTTCCTCCAGCTTCGATCTCACTATCGATCTCACTATCGGTCTCGCTCGATCGATCTCACTCGATCGGTCTCACAATCGATCTCACTTGATCTATTTCATTCGATTAATCTCACAATCGATCTGACTATCGATCTCACAATCGATCTCACTATCGATCTCACTATCGATCTCACAATCGATTTCACATTCGGTCTAACTATCGATCTCACTATCGATCTCACAACCGATATCACAATCAACGTCATCATGATCATCAACATCATCGTCATCAACGTCATCAACATCATCATCAGCATCACCGGGACACCATCATCATCATCACCACCTCATCACCATCATCATCCACATCATCATCACCATCATTATCATCATCATCGGGACACCATCATCGTCACCATCATCATCGTCAACATCTTCATCATCGGGACACCATCATCATCATCGGAACACCACCATCATTTTCTTCATCTCATCATCATGATCATGAACAGCATCATCAACATCATCATCAACATCATCATCGGGTCACCACCATCATCATCATTTAGCAACAGCATCATCATCAACATCATCATCATCATCGGAGCATCATCACCCTCATCACCATCATCATCACCATGATCATCAACATCATCGGGACACCATCATCATCATCATCAACATCAGCATCATCATCACCATCATTGGGCCACCATCACCTCATCATCATCATCAAAATCAGCATCATCGCCTCATCATCATCCTCATCATCATTATCATCATCATCATCGGGACACCATCGTCATCATCATCATTATCATCATCACCATCATCGGGTTACCATCATCATCACCATCATCATCAACAGCATCATCATCATCAATCTCATCATCAGCATCATCGGGACACCATCATCATCATCATCATCTCCATCATCTCCATCATCAAGTCATCTGATCATCATCAACATCATCATGATCATCAACATCATCATCATCATCATCATCATCGGGGCACCATCATCATGAGCAACATCATCATCATCAACATCATCATCGGGGCACCATCATCACCACCACCATCACCATCATCATCATCATCATCAATAATATCGTCAACATCATGATCAGCATCATCATCGGGACACCATCATCTTCACCACCATCACCATCATCATCATCATCATCATCATCATCATCATCATCATCCTCAACATCATCATCATTATCATCCTCATTATCATCATCATGATCATCATCATCATCATCATCATCATCATCATCAGCATCATCATCATCATCGGGACACCGACGGGACACCGGCGGGACACCGCACGCCACCGGCCCCCGAGCGGGACACCAGCGGGACACCGCGGGGCACCGGTTGCCGGAAGGGAAACTTTTGGTCCGGCCGCGCCTCAGCTACAGGAGACTTATTTCTCGCCCGCCTACGCAGCTTCGCCTCGCCCGCACGCACAGCACGCACGAACACGAAACCGAAACCGATTTCCCGGTAGGGGGGCTCTCCGTTCCACTTCGATCTCACCCCTTCATCTCCGATTACCATTTTTGCCTTCGTCTGCTTGCTTCTCGTTCCCTTTCTCCTTCTCCATCGCCGCGCAGCACAGTCTGCCAGGAGCCGGCGGCGCCAGACAAGGCCCTTCCGACAGTTATGTTTTCACGGCCCTCGCCGTGCAGCGGCGAGGCTGTTTAGAGCATGTGGCCGGGGGCCCAGCAAACATCTGGACGCCCCCGTGGACCATTTCCTGGGATGCACCGGGCGCGCCAGGCGTGTTCGAACGGGCGCTCTTGTTGGTATTTCTGTCATGTTCGTGGTGGTAGCCGTGCTCGCGGAGGAGGAGGCTGGGGAGGAGGAGGAGTAGGAGGGGGAAAATATGGAGGCAGGGTAGGAGACCCAAACCTCCGACGCCGTGCCTTTTTCGCGACGTGCTCCCCGGGAGTTCCCGACTCTTTTCCCCGTGCCAGTTCTTCGCTGTGTGTCGTAGTTGTAATGGTCCTGTGGCCCAAACGGGGCCTCCAAAGGCGCAAGTTTAGGAAACCTTGGGCGACGCCGACGACTTTGATGCCGCTGCCTTGCACTGAAAGAAATTGATTCCATTCGTGCCGGCAGAGGCTTGTGGATGAGGAGTGAAGAAGAGAACGGGGGGGTTGGCGGGCGTGGCGGGGTTTTCCCACCCTGTGCAAGGCACGTTGCGTGGCGGACGACCTGGCGGAGTTCTTCGCGTCCGAGCTGCAGAAGGGTGCTGCCATGGGCAGCTCGCACGAGAATGCGGTGGTTGTCTGACCTTTCTAGGTTGAGGTCTGATCTGAGTTGTCATTTGAGTTCGCTCAACGTGCCTTTGTCGCACATCGCTGGTAGCGCAGTGCGTGTATTGTGTTCGTCTGCATGGCCACGCCTCATGACTCTCAGGGCGTGACACAGCGCGAAGTCATCCCGAGCGACTGAATATTGTCACAACTGGAATCTACACACGTATACGTATAACATTGTCATACACATATCCGTAAGGGCTTCGCCCCCTGCCGCTGGCCCCCTCTCTCGGAGAATGGGCCATGGAAGAGCTAAGTCATGAGGCCTTGGCGCTGTTGTGAAGCAGTATCGAAACTTCATGCGAAGCCGATTCGCAATCAGCAAAACCAACTGATCACAAAAGGGGTTACCGCACCTGGCGATTGGTAAGACGTGTATGGTGTACCGGCTTGGTTACCACACCTTGCGATTAATGGGCCGAGGGAGTTCTCGCAGTTTGGGTTACCACGCCTTGCGATGGATGTGCGTGAAGGGTGGCACCGAATTTCAGACATGTAGCAAATCCCCTGTGTTTTTGGACCCTGACCCCGCGGATCTGCGTGAGGGGTGGCACCGAATTTCAGAAATGTGGCAAATCCCTGTGTTTTTGGACCCTGACCCCGCGGATCTGCGTGAGGGGTGGCACCGAATTTCAGAAATGTGGCAAATCCCCTGTGTTTTTGGACCCTGACCCCGCGGATCTGCGTGAGGGGTGGCACCGAATTTCAGAAATGTGGCAAATCCCCTGTGTTTTTGGACCCTGACCCCGCGGATCTGCGTGAGGGGTGGCACCGAATTTCAGAAATGTGGCAAATCCCTGTGTTTTTGGACCCTGACCCCGCGGATCTGCGTGAGGGGTGGCACCGAATTTCAGAAATGTGGCAAATCCCATGTGTTTTTGGACCCTGACCCCGCGGATCTGCGTGAGGGGTGGCACCGAATTTCAGAAATGTGGCAAATCCCCGGAACCCCGCGGATCTGCGTGAGGGGTGGGGGTGGTGTGTTTTTGGAAACCCCGTGGATCTGCGTGAGGGGTGGCACCGAATTTCAGAAATGTGGCAAATCCCTGTGTTTTTGGACCCTGACCCCGCGGATCTGCGTGAGGGGTGGCACCGAATTTCAGAAATGTGGCAAATCCCATGTGTTTTTGGACCCTGACCCCGCGGATCTGCGTGAGGGGTGGCACCGAATTTCAGAAATGTGGCAAATCCCTGTGTTTTTGGACCCTGACCCCGCGGATCTGCGTGAGGGGTGGCACCGAATTTCAGAAATGTGGCAAATCCCATGTGTTTTTGGACCCTGACCCCGCGGATCTGCGTGAGGGGTGGCGCCGAATTGCAGAAATGTGGCAAATCCCATGTGTTTTTGGACCCTGACCCCGCGGATCTGCGTGAGGGGTGCGGATTTCGAGCCCCCCCAGCAATACAGACGACGCGCCCAGGTGAGGCTAACAATCCTGTTTGGGCCTCCCCCCCCCCCCTCGCGCGGTCAATCAATTATTTACAGTAACCAGCAAGAAGTCAACTAGTTACAGTAACCAGCAAGAAGCAGAACTGTAACACTGGAAACTACAACCTACGACTGGTACAGGAAACTGCGAATCACGTGCCTACAGCCTGGTGGCCCCACAAGGGGGCCGGCGGATACACATGCGTATACCTACATACACAGTATGTAGCGTAACGGTCTTCGATCGGGCTTATGCGGTATCTCACGGCTCCATGTGAAGCTGGCGCCTGCAACTCCCTGATGGTGCGCGGCCTGCCCCTGGAGGTGTCCCAGGGTGATTTGCTGAGCGAGATCCGCCGCTCAGGTTTTGCCGCTGCTCTGGAGCTGGCTCAGCGCCCTCGCGCTCGCCCTGCCGGCAGCCAACCAGTGGGCTTGCCGTCGACGCACGGCCGTGGTCCACGCAGTCAGCCACTGGCTTTCTGAGGCATGCACAGGAGGGATCGAGACGAACTTTACGAAGGCTTACGACAACATCGCGCACCGCATCGCTGAGGAAGCGATCCAGAAAAAGGCCGTCCCCGAGGCGGTCATCATGACGTGCCCATTGGTCTGGGATGGCCCTCGCGTCTGCTGTGTCTCGGACGAGCTCGCAGAAACCATTTGGTCGTGCCGTGGCGCCCAGGGCCCGCCCAGGACTGGGCGTTCATGTGCGACAGGAGCTTGGGCGCCAAAGGCGACCGCGCCGCCGAGGACCTGCAGGCCGGCCTCGCGGCCACGCAGGACTACGACAACGATGTCGGCTTTTTGGAGAATGCCGCCAAGCGCCAACAGTGATAATCACAGCATGCAGCGGGTGGAGCACTTCGGCCTTACAGCAGTGCCGGCGGACCCGTCCCAGCCCATCTTGCCCAGGGGAGGCTGGAAACATGTATTCGCTACCCTCGCAGTTCTCGCCTCGCTCCCCGGGACTCTGGACGTGCGCGAACGGCTCAGCGTAGTGCGCGTGCGCACACAATGGAATTGGGCGGCCCCACTGGTGGCGCCCGTCCTTCGCACAGCTCTAGGACAGCCGTTCTGGGCAATTTTACGCCAAATGCTCATGGGGTTGCCAAAGGCGATGGTGGGCGCAGCGCATCGTGTTGCACCCGCTCCTCTTGCTGGCCATCCTTGTGGCCAAAGCGCTAGCTAGTCCACCCTTGGTCTGGAGCCTTGTCGTACGACGAGCGGAGCTGTCGCCGAACATGTCGGGCTTCTGGGGCTGACCGTTGGCCGGTTTGAGCCCGAGTGTGGCCTCCAGGTGTTCGTGGCCCGCAACGATTCGAAACACATCCATCAAGGTACGGTTTCGCCGCCACGACTGGTCTTTTTGGATTTCTTCACCATCAGCAGCACAAGTCCTGCGTGCAGCGGCGCGTGTATGTTGTGTCGAAAGCGTACATAGTACGAGGCTGGGCGCCGCTGGAGTGGCCCTCGTCGACGTGGATGCCTCCAGCACTGCAGTCTGGGCCAAGCGGCACAGATCGCTGTCGCACCGCGACAAAAAACACCTCGACATCTTCAGGTCCAGGGCCACCAAAACGCCGACGCGGGGGGGGCGTGGCAGCGCCGTGCCCATGGTGTGCCGCCAGCTGCTCTTCAGCCTCCGCCACATGTTCCAAGATTGCTCGCACTTCGACGCGGGGCGAGCTGCGATCGCCAGAAACCTGCGCCTTCTTGTTTTCTTTTGGCGCACCCAACCCTGGGTGAAGTCCAAATCAGGGTGGGTCATATATGACGCGGGGAGGACCCTGGAGCAACGCGGAACCATGCAGGTGGTTGCGTGCCAGTTGGGGCTTGCCATCGGCCATGCTTCGTTCGGCCTCAACGGCGGCTCCGCGTTCGACGAGGAGCTCGCCAACTGCTAGAACCACTCCAAAGTTAGGGTGGCCTTCTATCACTAGGTGTGTTGCCAGTTGGGTCGACCTCTGCTACTTGCTCTGCGACTTCATCTCCAGCAAGAACTTCAGCGCAGTATTCTGCGCGGGGAGCCGCCCTCAGCGGAGCGACGTCTCATTCTAGACGCTTCGCATATCCCCACCAGTCCTCTTGCGGCGGTTGGGTGCGCCCCCCATCTCCACGCCATTCGCACCCTGCGTGCCGCAGTGGCCCTCCCGCAGCCGGTCGGCACTATGGCATCGGAAGGTCGGCGGTGTCCACCGAGGTGAGGGTGTTTGTGGCGGGTTGCCTTGCCAGTGTGGCGCCTCGCCCGCGTTTCTCGGCGCACCTGCCCCTCACGGGTTCCGACCCGTCCGTTGGCCGACGCCTGCCTCAACAGCTCTGTAGTGGTGTTCGCTGGCTGCGCGCTGAGTGGATCAGCCTTCAGCGCCGTCAGCCTGTCTTCCACTTCCAGCAGCCGGTACTCCAGGCTGGTGCCAGTTGTCTGTTTGAGGTGCTGCTCGGAGCTTGGCGCCGCAAGGGCGACGTTCCGTTGCACCCGCACCTCTGTGCGCTCGTTCTTTTGGACCGGGCGGCGCCTAGGTGCGTCTCGGCTCGAATGTGGAGCATTTTGCTCAGTGCGCGTGCACCGCCCGCCTTGCGTGGAATTTGCCTGTTCCGCCGTCCCGGACACGCCTGTTGCCGCCAGACCGTCGTCGCGCGGCCGCCGACCAGAAAAGTATCCCCACCAGCTCTGGTCTACAATCTTTGCCTCAGCTGGCCGTGTCTGGTGCTGGCCCTTTGGGGGCCCATCTGCCGTCTCACTCAGGAGTGGTTCAGCCTTCTTGCAGTGGCCGGCGCAACTCTCGCTGTCGCGTCGTTGCCGCCTCATGGCGCACACCTTGCCACAGCTGTGGCCTTGACCCCTGGTGCTCTGTGGCCACAAGGTCCGTCTGCGTACCTCGTGACTTCCTCCCACGGTACCCACTTGAGTTCGTGTGCGCTCGCACCTCTCGGGCTCCGTTCTCCTGGCTGCGCGCCGCTTGCCCGGGTCCGCCCGTCTGGTGGCACCGCCCCGCTCGGCAGACGTGTGGTCTGTTGGTATCTAACAGGTCACGACCTCTCCTGGCGTGCAGGAGCCAAGTCACTCGCATGTGTGCATCAGCTACCCTGGCCGTTGGCAGTCAGCTCAGCCAGCTCAGCCTCAGCCTGCGGCCTCGGCGGTAGGTTCTGATTCGGGGCTCGGCCGCTGAGCTCGTAGGCTGGCGCGTTGCTAATTTGACAGGCCCGTGGCCCGGGCCTCTCAGCTCGGCGACTGCGAATCCGCGTCTGCCCGCGCCCAAAACAAATATTCCACCAGCGCCCCGTGGAACCTGGTGAGGCACCCTGGCGTTCAGGTGACGTGCGTACCGACCAGCTCTGGCTAGAGTGCTTGCACTTCCCTGGCCTCTGGTTTCCAGACACCGCCACAGCGTGGCCGTGTCTGCCGTTGCCGCCGGCTTGGTGGGACGCTGCCCCACTGGTTTACTCAGGAGTGGTCCAGCCTTCTTGGTCTGCCATGTGTGATCGTCCCCGTTGGCCTGCAGCCTGGCACGTTGGGCTGTTTATGCAGCCCCGCGCTTCGCCACGCATGTGGCGCGTCGACCTCTGGCGCCTGGTGCGACAAGGTTCAATTCTAGACGCTACGCGTATCCCCACCAGCCCATCCACAATCGATGCGTAGGGGAGCTCACGGAAGAAAGGAAGCAGAGACGCTCATAGTGAAACCGAGCAGAGCCGCTCATGGTGCTAGTGTCGCTTCTCCTCCCAAAACGTCGTCGACGACGACGACGGCGGCGGCGACGATAGCGGCGGCAGCGGCGGCGACGATGGCGGCGGCGGCGACAACGGCGGCGAGGAGGAGGAGGAGGAGGGCGAGCAAAAATACCAGAGGTCTCTTGAATGCCTTTCGGAGCCTCTTGGGATATCTCTTGGGCGCTTCTTGGAGGCATCTTGGGACGTCTGGGGGGTCTCTTGGCGGTCCTGGGGGGCTCTTGGGCGTCTTGAGTGCGTCGGGGGGGCCTCTTGGAGGCCTCTTGGAGGCCTCTTGGGGCCATCTTGGCGCCTCTTGGGGCCTCCTGAGCGCCTTCTGGGGCCATCTTGGAGGCGGTCGATCAAGAAAGGGGGGGTCCCTAGTCAGCGTCGCCCCTCGGGAGCCCCCAACATAGCCTCCTGAACCCCTCTTGGGGCGCTCTTGGAGCGCTCTTGGGCGCTCTTGGGGCCGTCTTGGGGCCCTCTTGGAGCTATCTTGGGCCCTCTTGGAACCATCTTGGGCCTCGGAAGGCCATCGGAAGCGAAAAGCGAGAAGGCAACAATCATTGGTTTTCCTTCGGTTTTCAAAGGAGTTTAGCATCTTGGAGGACTCTTTGGGGAGCTATTTAGCCTCTTGGAGCCGTCTTGGGGCAGTCTTGGGGCCTCTTGGAGCACCTTCAGAGTCATCTTGATGCAGCTTGGCCCATCTTGAGCCATCATGGAGGTCATTTTGGGCTTTCCGAGGCGCTCTTGGAGCCGTCTTGGGCCATCTTGGGCGTTCCAACGCGTCGCCGCGCCCCCCGTCCAGGTCCAGGGGAGGGGGTAGGGGGAGGGGTAAACCCCTCCCCGAAGGGGAAGGAGGGGTGGAAGAGGAAACTCTCTAAACCACCTACGCCCAGAGGGCTGGTGGGATTCATCCTCATCCTGGTGGCCCCGCCTCTGGGTTCCCCGCGCGCTGGCTGCCTGGCGTTCCTGGCAGCCTTCGCAGTCTGCCTGCATCCCCCGGCGCCCCCCCAGCTTCCCTCGGCGGCAGCTTCGGCAGCCGTGAACGTCCGCTGGGCAATTAGGCTTCGCCCGTAGCCCGGGTTGACCTCTGACGCTGCGTGCGCCTTCGGTCGCGGCTGCGACGGAAAAAGTATCCCCACCAGCCTGCGCAGCCCAGGCGAGAGGAAGACGACGGCGACAACGACGAGTCAACCATAAAACCTTCGCGGGGGCTGCGCCCCGCGAGCTTCTTCAGCCACCTTGGACCGTTTTGAGCCCATGTTGGAGGTCATCGATCAAATACGGGAGGGCCCCCAATTAGCACTGCTTGTCGATACCATCTCAATTCGCCTCTTGGCGCCCTTTTGGAGTAATCTTGGGCCGCTCTGGGCGCTCTTGGGGCTGTCTCGGATCCTTCTTGGGCTTCTCTTGGGATCCTCTTGTCCATCTTGGAGCCATCTTGAGGCCTCGGAAGACCATCCGCAGCGAAATGGCTCGACAGCAAACACAATTTTTGATTTTCGAGAAACTAATAGCTGTTGAAGCTGGTTTTGAAAGGACCTTGGCCTCTAGGCGGCGTCCTTGGGGTGTGCTCCGAGGTCATTTGGAGCCGTCTTGGAACGGGCTTGGAGATTCTTGGAGGATGTCGGACACCATCTTGAATCATGTGGAGGTACATTGAATTATCTTGGAGGTCATCTTGGGCACCCTGAGGTACTCTTGGATTTTGGGCCACCCTGACACCTCGCCGACCCCTTCGTCCAGGTTGAGGGAGAGGGGGTAGGAGGAGGTATCAATCTACCTCGCGCCGCAAGCCATGCCGCTCACTCCCATCCGCCCTCCCAACACGTCGGCAGCGTCCGATCCTGGGGCCTCGATCCCACTGGTTTCAGGAGTCCCGTCGGAAGCGCAGTGCCGAACATTAGTTGAGACGAGTGGTGGGGCCCGAAGCGCCAACACCAACTTACACATCGTTTTTCCTTGAAACCGCTTGCCCAGGCAGAGTTTGGAACCCAGTTTTTTGGCTCAGACGGGTGCGTGAGAAAGAGCCACCTATCTGTCCCGAGCAATCGCGGTCAAAAGGCAAGGCGAGCGCACGGCAGACAATGAAAATGGAGCGTGAAGGGGGCAGCTCGAAGCAGATTGCTCGATGGGTGGGATTTTCGGATTTGAACGCCCACACATGGTCTACATGTTGTTTCAAATTTTACTTCGTAGTGTTTTCTCGACTCGGGCATCGACTACCACATTGCTTTACCTCAAGCTTGTTTGTTCCGTCGGGTCTACGAAACATGTGTACGGTTCCATAGATCTACGGAGCCTTCGGGTTCGCTTCCGCAGATTCGACGAAGCAACAAGTTTGGGGTACACCAATTCAGTAGTCGATCTCCTATTCGAGTTTTTGTTGTCAGGAATGGTGGGCCTGCACAGCGCCAGAATTATGAGCCCCCCCCGCCGTCCCTGCCAAAAACCAATGCAAGGTGATCCCATGCCGGCCGCGCGGTGTGCAGAATTTGCCACAACGCGCACTATGATTTGTTTTTGGTCAAGGGTCGCGAGCCTGCACGGAGCAGTAGATCCGAGGGCACTTCTCCGCCGCCCCCTCTGTGAAAAACCAGTGCGTCATGATCGCGGGGCGCCCGCGCGTAAACCAGCTGTTGCTGCGCAGTGTATTTTGCATTGTGTTGACAGGGGTGGTGGGCAGGCGCAGAGCGGACATACAAGTGGAACCTCCGCCGTCCTGGTCAGAAACCGATGTAAAATGATCATGGGGCACCCGCGCACGGTCCAGGTTTTGCCGCAATGTGTACTTTGAATGTTCTAACCAGTGATGGCGGGGGGGGGGCGCATGGTCCCGGGTTTGTCGCTGGTCGGGTGGGGGAGGGGGTGCATATTAACCAGGAACAGTGAAAAACCCTTCCGCGAAGGGGAGAAAGGGAATTGGAAGATGAAGCGCGCTAAACCATTCACGCCCAGAGGGCTGGTGGGATTCGCATCCAGAAGGTGGCTCGATGCTCTTTGGGAGGCTGCCAACTGTGCAATTGTCACCGCTTTCCCAGTCTCCTGGGATACCCAGCAAAGCGACCCCACACGCCTGCCCAAACGAGACCTCGCGGCTGGGATGTTGACAACTGTGCAACCGTTACCATTTTTGTGATCTCCTGGGAGGTTTCTCGGAGCGACGCCACTAGCAGACCCAGACGAGACCTAGCAGCTTTCTGGGGGGTGGGGGGCTGCCAACTGCGTAACCGAAGCCGCCCTCGTGGGCTCCTGGGAGGTCCAGCGGAGCAACGTCTTACGTCATCATGCAAATTACTGCTATTTCTTGGTCATCGTCGTCCTTCCCTCTTTCCCCCCTCCATGTCCGACCCTGTGTCATTTCCATATCTGTCCCGTGAGGCGTGCAATGTGTAGACCTCCCATGTAGCTTGCACGAGGTGCACCCTGCCTGTGTCATAGAGGAGGGGAAGAAGCAGTGCTGGGTGCACGAGGATCACTCGGGGAGGCGCTGCACCGCACCGTAGGAGCTTTTAGGTGCGCGGCGTCTCGATCAGCACGGTTGCTGGCCAGCAGCCAGACCGCACGCGAGGCGGGCCGCGCGTGATCTTGTCACCTGCCTGCACCTCTGGTGCACAATGGCGGCCGGGCCGAGAGCGCGAGAGAGCGAGTGCTCTGGAGTCAGGTGCGGCCTAGCCGATCCCTAGCAAAGCATCCCCTTCCGTGGCGACCCCCTCGCCTCGCCCTCAGACGTGTGTGTGTGCGGCCGGAGGGAAGCTTGAAAGGCGAGGATGACGTTACGGAAGGGATGGTTTGCTAGGGGTCGGTTAGGCCGCGCCCGATGGAGCCAGCTCCTCACACTGAAAGAGCGAGTGCTCTGGCCGGGCTGCGGCAGCTCCAGCTCCTCGTCTGTCGCCCCTCGGCGGCGCGCGCAAGGGTGCGTGGCGAGGGTGGTGCGCCGACCCTCTGAGAGGGTGGGGAGCTTCTTCGAAGTCCTCCTGCCTCATAAGAGTCCGTCTTAGGAGCACCCCGCCTTCTTGGAAGTTGGCCCCCTCGCCCCACCAAGTGTTGTGCGCCGACCTTCCCCTGCCGACTCTGACCAGCGGCCCTTGGTCCCGGCAGTAGCGGCGTCTCGAGACCGAGCTGAGCTGGGGCTCGAAAGCGCGCGTGTTCAGGGGTGGTTCCGCCGTGCGTGTTCGCGTTCGCCCATCTGTCGGGGCTCTACGTCTCAATGTTGGTAACAATGCTGTGCAGCTGCGCGCTTGAATCGTGTCGGAGACGCCTGCGGCGAATGACCGCCGACCCCTTCCTTTCTGGAACTGTCGATGTGGCCAAGCGTTGGGTCAAAACTTGGCCAAGCTATTGGAAGAAGTGTTCCCCCAGCCGTCGTGGAAGCCCTTGGGGAAACACTTTGGGAAGCATGGGAGATAATGATGATGATGATGACGATGCTGTTAATGCTGATGATGATGAGGCTGATGAGATGATGATGACGATGACGATGACGATGTCACTGAGGATGACGATGCTGATGATGATGACGATGATGCTGCTGCTGATGATGGTCATGATGATGCTGCTGCTGATGATGATGGCGGTGATGGTGATGGTGATGGTGATGATGGAGATGATGAGGATGATAATGATGCTGGTGATGATACTGCTGATGATGATGCTGATGCTGATAATGATGATGATGATGATGATGATGATGATGATGAAAATGATGATGATGCTGATGATGATGATGATGATGGCGGTGATGGTGAAGTCGATGATGATCCCGACGACGACGAGGATGATGATGATAATGATGATGATGGTGATGATTAGGATGATGAGGATACTGATGATGGCGACGATGATGGTGCTGCTGCTGATGATGATGATGATGACGACGATGGGGATGATGACGACGTCGTGGTGATGACGATGACGATGACGATGATGATGAGGATGATGCTGCTGCTGCTGATGGTGTTGATGATGATGCTGATAATATTGATGATGATGCTGATGATGCTGTTGATTTTGTTGATGTTTGTGACGGTGGTACCGGTCATGTAAATGATGGCGATTACGATAGCGACGACGCTGATGATGATGACGACGACGAACCATGCCAAAAATGCAGATGATGACGATTCAGGTGATGACGATGACGATGATGATGATGATGATGATGATGGTGATGATGATGATGATGCTGATAATGATGATGATGCTGCTGCTGATGATGTTGATAATGATGCTGATGATACTGATAATGCTGCTGACGATGACGAGGATGATGAAGTTGATGATGATGCTGATGCTGTTGATGTTGCTGATGATGATCGTAATGATGATACTGATGATGCTGCTAATGCTGATGATGACGATGCTGACGTTGACGATGATGCTGATGATGATGCTGCTGATGATGGTGGTGGTGATGATGGTGATGATGATGCTGATGATGTTGCTGATGATGGTTCTGTTGCTGATGATGGCGATGCTGATGATGGCGATAATGATGATGATGATGACGATGATGATGATGCTTATTATTACTATTATCTTAATTCTTATTCATTCTTATTACTAGTATTACTAGTATTATCATTATTATTAGGTATTTATGTATTTATGTATTTATTTATTATTGTTATGTTTATTTATCATTATTATTATTGTTATTATCATTATTATTATTTCCCATTAGTGATTTGATCGTTTATTGCTATTCGTAATGTTCTGATTATTTCCATTTGTAGTATACCTATTAACAGTATTATTATTCGTATGATGCTACTGCTGCTGATGATGATGACGATGAGGAGGAGGAGGAGGAGGAGAGCGACAAGAAGGACATGTATTAGAAGGACGAGGAGGAGGAGGAGGAGGAGGATGGGGGATGGGAGGGAGGATAATGAGGAGAAGGAAGTGGAGGAAGAGGAGGACGAGAAGGAGGAGGAGAAGGAGGAGGAGGAAGAGGAGGAGGAGGAGGAGGAGGAGGAAGATGCCACTTGGGGGCCTCTTGGGGCTTTTGGGGGTGTCTTAGGGCCCCCCCCCCAGGGCTTCCTGGGGGCCTCTTGGGGGTCTTCGAGGGGCCTCTTTTCTTGGGGGGGGGGAGGGAGGGACGCGTGCGTGTGTGTGTGTGTGTGTGTGTGTGTGTGTGTGTGTGTGCGTCTGTCTGTACAAGTGCACGTGCGCGTGCCAGAACGTTTGTGGTTCGGACATGTTCATTCGCCGCGACCTTTAAGTCTGTATTCGATGATTAGTAAGCAGTAGTACCAGGTTCGTTAGGCCAGTACCCGCGTTGTGCACAGTCTGGAATACAGCGCAATGCTGCTGATAAGATGATATCCGTAAAGGCTTCGCACTCTGCTGCTGACCCGTAACAATGGAAGATATCAGAGCCGTGTAGGGGTGTCTGGGCACCGTCTTGAAGACATCTGGGAACATCATGCGGGGACGGATGGGAATCAGCAGCACATATTGAAATGGTGGGGCTATTTTTGAACGCTGTTGCATTTTTGCAGCGTTCTCCGCGTGAACTTGGCGTAACCTGCGAAAGGGAGCGCGAATCTTGTGTAAATGCTGATGAGGGTTCTGGCCTTGGGAGTGCGGATTTGTTTTGATTTGCAACGGATTCTGGCCTCGCGAGCGCCCAAGTTCAACAGGGCTTAACAGAGCTTACCAGGGCGTAGGAAATCTTACCAGAGCTCGGCAGGGCGTGCCAGGACTTAGCAGGGCCTCGCAGAACTTGCCAGGGCTCAGCAGTGCTCAGCATGTTCAGTAGGGCTTAGCAAGGTTTACAGGGCCTCAGCAGGGTTTACCAAGGCTTAGCTTAGTCGGGCTGAGCAAGGATCACCAAGGCCTTAGCAGGGTTCACCAAGACTTGGCAATGCTTCCCTAGTCTTAGCAGGGCTTAGGAGGGCTCATGGAAGCTCAGCAGGGCTTCAGGCTCCGCAAGTATTGGCAGGGCTTAGCAAAACTTGCCAATTCTGACCAAGGCTCAGCAAGGCTCACAGGGTCTAGCAGGCCCTCAAGCCTTGGGTCCGTTTCCTTCTCCCGCCCCCATTCCGTTGCTGCTTCGGATCAATTTCGAATAATGCAGTTGCTGAGTGAATCGTTGTGTGGCGAGACAACCTCCCCGGCGCCATGGGGCGTTGAGTTGCTCTCAGCGCCGTTGCGAGATCGCTGATGGACCGCCGGGTCTGCTCCCAGGGCCTTCGGGGCACCTGCCGTGCCGGCCCGCCCCGCAGATGGAGTGCAACGGGCCCTCGTCGGCGCCCGTCCGGCGGGCGACGTGGACCTCCCGTTCGCGCCATTTCGGGGCGATGTTTTTCAGGCATCCCTTCAGACGGAAGCATTGCCCGCGCGGGCGTCGCCCATGGGCTTCGCACAGGACATCCTACGAGCCGGGTGGGGGCACGGCACTGTCCGGACGCGCGCCAGTGCGTTGTCCGTGCATGTTCGTGTTCTCGAACGGCAAGTCGATTCCAGCGTCTTCCCTCTGGACTCGGTGGACAAGCTCATGCTGTTCTTCGCCAGCGTGGACGGCGTGGCGCGGCAAACCATAGGGTTCAACAGAGCAGCCGTCCGAGCGCGGCACCGAAACATCAAATACTGCCAGGTGCTTTGGCGCTTAGGCGGCGCGTTGTTGGCGAGGCTGGGAAAAAACGGGCCTCCAACGCATCGCACCAAAAACGTGCGATTCCTGTAAAGGAATGCGCCCAGTTCTCCGCGGCCGGGACTGCTGCAGGCACGCCAACTGGGCGTGGAGATGCAACTTTTGCATCATTTCGTTTTTTGGGTTTGCGCTGCGTATCGGCAACGAGAAGCGTTCGCGTTCAGGACGTGCAGTTTACCGTTTCATGTTTGGGTTGTTTCATCATCAGAAAACAAAAAGACGACCCATGTAGCAAAGACTAATGGTGCTCCATTCCGTTCAAGCCCATCGCAGGGCTATCTCCGGTGGAAGGCCGCAAACGCGCCTGACGTGCCTTCCCTCTTCTGCAGCATTACAGGGTCTAAGCTGCAGCCTGTGAGTGCAGATTCGTGGCGCAAGGCGGTGTCGTCTCATCTCAAGGATCCCGCTGCTGTCGCGCATTCGTTTCGTAGAAGCGGAGCGGAGCGTTTCGCTCACGCAGCAAAGTTACCCCCGCACATGAACAGCGGTAGGGGGGTGGAATTCGGAGGACGTCACGCGCCAAACGTACGCCGACCCATCACCAGATACGCTAGCTTTGCTGAATTGGCTTGGCCACTCTTTCTGCAAATCAGACGTCGGGCCGGCCCAGCAAACACCTCCGACAGAAAACAGTTTCTACGAGCGCGTTCTATGACCCGCCAGGAAAAGGCCGTTTGCGCCGAAACGCATCACCCCCCGTCGTGAGGATGATCCTATTAGGAGGAAGGCGAAGCTTTTTGGATAATGGGCGTTCTAGAGACGCAGATGCTTCGCACATCAGGGACACGAGCAGCACTGCCAGCGCCTATTGTGCTGGCAGTGGTCCCCAGGCGGCCTTGCCCGGCTTCGTCGGCGCCTATTGTGCCGCTGGGTTGAGGCTCGTGGGGCCACCTTCCCGCGGAACCGTGGCAGGGCGCCGCGCGGGCGCAATGCGTCGCAGGGCGCCGCACGGCGCAATACGTCGCGCTCGCTTGCCGTTTCGTGGCAGGGCGCCGCTCTGGGCTCAGGGCGCGACGCAAAACGGGCAATCGCCGTCCCGCCTACCCGTTTCGAGACGCAAGGCGCGCAGAAGAGGCGAGGAATTTACATGCAGCTTGTGCGCGGCCGTTTCTACTTCGGTTCCCGCTTCCCGAGGCAACGGCCGGCGCGGAGCCTGTGGGGGGTGCTCACCGGTTCGTCTCCTGGTGGTTCCTTCCCTGCTGAGCTGGGGGACATTCGCCCCCTTAGCGCTATGGAAAAGCATCGACCTCCGTTGTGAGATTTACGTTTGCCTCGGGGATTTGAATATCATGTGTTTTTAAGTGTCCCAGGCCCTTCCGCAAATTTAGATCACGCGATTCGGGTGTGGTGACATGTTGGTTTTCGGCTCCCCTTCCTCGAGCTGACAGTACAGTCATGGCGCTGAAGTGCGGTCCAATTCGGGTTCGGAAAAGGGTTCGTTGGTTCCTTGGGTCTGTCTGTGCTTCTTCGCAATTTTGCCAGGGAGTCCTCCCAGCGTGTCTTGGGAGGGGAGGGGTCGTTTTCAAAACGAGACGCAACGACGCGGGAACGCTTCACGAAAAGGGTTTGGCCGTTCTTTGGGCATGTTTGACTG